CTACAGGAGGAACCAGAAGTTTCCAGAAGGCTTCCAGAAGCTACACACGTTCTACGTAGATGTCCCGGTCAACCTTGATCTAGCATGCTTCCGGAATATTTCTAGAACAAGAGAATACACGCCACGGAGAGATGGATTCTTTCTACTGCTACGCAGACTAGTTGCTGCAGTCGTATTCAAAGGTCAAACCGTGTCCGACTACTGGTGGTCTTGACGCACGTNACAGGAAAGATCCAGAATGCTTCCAGAATGATTTCTGGAAGCCCTCCTACATCCTGGAAGAGTATAAACTGCAACCTAGATCTAGAACGCTTCCAGAANGAAGAGTATCAACTGCAACCTAGATCTAGAACGCTTCCAGACGCTGGCAGAAGGAACCAGAAGTTTCCAGAAGGCTTCCAGAAGCTACACACGTTCTACGTAGATGTCCCGGTCAACCTTGATCTAGCATGCTTCCGGAATATTTCTAGAACAAGAGAATACACGCCACGGAGAGATGGATTCTTTCTACTGCTACGCAGACTAGTTGCTGCAGTCGTATTCAAAGGTCAAACCGTGTCCGACTACTGGTGGTCTCGACGCACGATTTTTCCTGACACGACCCCCCGATCAAGCAACTAATTCACAATGGTCGACGGCATCACCATATCGTTGTCTACCTCGACCCCTCCGTTGGCATCGTATCGAAAATAAATTTCTTCTGGTATGGCGGGTATGGAAGGAAACTTCATCTTCGATCAACACGAGAAGTCCTTGATCTGCGGAATGATGGAGGCGAATCGGTGCTTTGGGAGGTACTTGGTCGCGATATCAGCCAACTGGTGCTCGCTGGGCCGGTGGTGAAGAGTGATTTGTCCCCGCAGTACTAGCTCCCGGATGAAAAAGTACCTCAGGGCCACGTGCTTCTTGCGTTGAGAGTGCATGGCATTCCCGGCCACTGTCAGCGCTCCGGTGCTGCCGCTGTNAGCCAGAAAGAAGAGATATCCCGTGGTAGATCTTCCGTTGTCGGGGTTTTGCTCCGAAGGATGAATCCGAAACGCCGCTAGCCGAAACTGTCCTCTCTTGT